TCAAAAAAAAAAAAAGAGAAAACCTTAAATGGGGCTGCCCTTGTGTTTGGCTCTATATCAAATGCCATTATACAGACACCTAAGTAACAAAAAAAAAAAAAGAGTATCTGGAGCAGAGAAACATTCTTTTGTTCATGCCCGCTATCTCAGTCCCATCTATTAGATCTGCTGGCAAAGAATTTGGTAAGATGAAAGGACAGCCATATGTAATGCTTATGGGTGATGCAATACAACTTCAAACCTGGGCAACGCACACTACAAAGAAGTGGAATTGTCTATGTTCTAGTTTTCAAGCATTGCCATGTGCTTTGCACAATACAGCACTGTTTGACCAACATTACCCAACATCATCAGAACCTATTTGTGATCATTAGCCAGCAGCTGTTAAAGAAGAAAAGCAAGCGCCCATTACTATGACAAATTCACCTTGATACCCAAGATCAATAACCCAATTTTGTCTGCAATCATACTAACACAAAGTAGCAAGTTAATCTATTTATCCAACATTGGCATAGGTAGCATAAAATTTTGCCGAAGAAATTGAACACTTTCAAAGGAGGCTTACATCATACATCTTATAACACACAAACACGTGAACTTATCATTTCGAAGTAACTACAGCCAACCACCTCCTATCATTTCCTAGCTGGCTGTGTAAAGCATGTATGGTCTGTAACACACATCTTGCCCTAATTTCATGTGTATTATAAATTGTAATAAGTATTTTTTTCTTTATTATCTAAATATTTTATGAATATGCTTTGGAGTGTATTTTCTTGATTAGATTTTTAAGGCTCTTGAGAACTGAGAAGTAGCACGTATTCTGCTATGGTTCCCATTGCTAGACTGTTTAATCAGCCTTTATTCAGAATAAGGCACAGGGAATGCAAGTATAACCTGCCTTCTAAGAGCTTATCTTCCAGTGACAGTAATAACAGCCGCCATCTTTTGAGCACTATGTGTCAGGCTTATCAATAAATATATGCTTATCAAAATCCTTATATAACCCTGCAAAATAGATATTGCTATTTCTGTTTGACAGATGAAGAACCGAAGGCTCAACTGATACTTAACCAAATTTAACAGGCAGCAAAAGTGGAAGAGATCTTTCTGTTTGAAAATGCATGGTCTTTTCACTATATACATGATGTTATTTCCCTCTGCGCAGTTTGGACCAGAGGAAAAACTCATTAAGTATTTAATTAAATTACATGGGGTGAAGAGGTTATTATGAGGCATTATCTTTTAGAGAAGGGAAATTTGTATTCCATTATAAGGAATTCCTTAATCATTTGTCAATTTATTTATTTGTTTATTCATCATTTTTAGATGTAGTAATACAGTAGTGAATAGAAAGACAAAAACACATTCATTTTTGGAGCTTCCTTTCTAGCTAAAGAAAGATGAACCATTAAGAAAGTAATGTACTATGTGTACTATATTTTAAAAAACAAAGCACGAAATGTTAGAGAATTAAAATTTTAAACAATATGTGCAAAAATCTTGTCTGAAGTACTAGGGGTTGAGAAAAGGCCAGTGTTGCTAAGGCTTGGAGACAGAAGAGGAGAGTGTGGTAAGGTTGCCTGCAAAGGTAGACAGAGTCCAGATCACATAAGGTCCATGTGATGTGCTAAGGATCCTGTATTATATTCCAAAAGCAAATGAAAATCAGTCAGACATTAAAACAAAGAAGCTATTCATTAATTTGTAATTCAATGGGAAAAAATAATCAACGTAACCAATTTAATGTATAGTACTTTCAGAAACACATGTGGTGTGCAAAGCAAGATACATTTAAATTAAAAATCATTTCTTTCCACTAATACATAAGCTCAAAGAGGAAAAGATAATACTTGCAAGCAAGTAAACAAACCAAATATATATTAGTGTTTAATCCAGCAATGGGATGTAGAAAATAAATTTTTAAATCAGTGATTTAGAAGCTGAAAATAACATATTAATCTACATTCAGTACTCATCCTATAAATGCGGTTTCATAAAGAGTTCTTAGCATCTAGCATATTCTTCATTTTCTAATCTCAGTTGATCTCAGCTAATAAGGAGGCTGTTGTTCAAAAGAATGATCTTGTTCAGGATGATTTACCATGGTTAAGAGGGCAAAGGAAATTGGAAATTTATAGATCTGTTAAAAAGACCTAGCTGTCAGGCTAATTGATACATTTTGGCCACCCCTTGAAATTACGTCCGTTTTTAGAATGCCAAATGAACTCTCTGAAGCAATAGAAGAAGGATTGCCCTTTAAACATACTGCAGAATCATCATCAAATAGTTATTTATTAAGCAGCTCAACAAGCATGTACACATTCTTTTTATCGGCAGTTCTGTTTCCTAGAACCAAATATCCATTGTATATAATACTCAATCACAATTGAGTACAAAAGTAGCTATGATTTTAAAAATTATAATTTTGCAAAAATAAAAGTTTGATTGCCCTACTTCATAATGAAGATAGATGGTGCCTATGACTGGGTTTTGCCTGCATAGCTCTTTATTCATGTATTTTATACCTTTGTTCATCCCCGATCAGAAAGAAGTTAAAGATCCTAAGGTTTGGCCAGGTGTGGTGGCTCATGCCTGTAATCCCAGCACTTTGGGAGGCCAAGATGGGCAGATCAACTGAGGTCAGGAGTTCGAGACTAACCTGGCCAACATGGTGAAACCCCATCTCTACTAAAAATACAAAAATTAGCTGGGCGTAGTGGTGGGCACCTGCAATCCCAGCTACTTGGTAGGCTGACGCAGGAGAATCTCTTGAACCAGGGAGGCGGAGGTTGCAGTGAGTCGAGATCACACCACTGCACTCCAGCCTGGGCAACAGAGTGAGATTCCATCTCAAAATAAATAAATAAATAAAAAGGATCCTAAGTTTCATCAGACTTAACTGTAATCCATTTAATGGAAATAAAGTGAAATATAGCCCCCTACCTCAATGTCACTCTTATTGCATTACCTAAAGTTGATTTCTTTATTTTCCTTTACCTCTAAAGATTCACTATACCTGAATACAATCACATGAGATTTGTACCCAATTGAGAAACACACCTAATCTCTTCAATCCTGCTCCTCTACCTCTTAGTTAATAACTCCAAGCTTCCCATTGCTCAGGCCAAAAACCTTGGAGTCAACCTTAACCCACATCCCAGCCATCAGCAGATCCCACACATTCTAACTATGATGGAAACCTGACCACTAGCTACCACCAATACAGCTAACACACACTTCAAACCACTGTCATCTCTTACCCAGATTATCCCACTAGACTTCTGACTCTCCTATAAACACCTTGACCCCATTACAGTCTCCCTATATAGCAAAAAGACAGAGACCAAGACAAAAACCTCCAATGACTTCCCACCTCACTCCAATTACAAGCAAAGGTCTTCACACATGTCTTCAAGCCCCTACATGAAATAATACTAACCCCTAAGTTTACTTCCCCTGTGTCTCCCTATCCATACATCCTCATCCCCTCTGCTCCAGCCACATGGGTGTCCTCACTTTGGCTGGAGTACAACAAGCATACTCTTATTGCAGAGCCTATGCACGGGTGCTCCTCTGCCTAGAAACTTGCCACCAGACACCCATTTCATTCACTTCTTCACCTTCTTTAGACCTTTATCACATTCTTCTCCCACCCACCATATCAAAAACTGCAACCCCATTGTCTCACTTCTATACCCCAAAAGAACTCTAATCCTCTTTCTCAGCTTTATCTTTCTCCACAGTGCTTACCACTGTCTATCTTATGCTGGTTTGCATTTTTAAATATCTATTTTCCATTGCCTCTCTACCACCTCCAGAAGGCTCCCCCTGAGAACAGGAATTTTTATTTGTTTTATTTTCACCGGTACTTTCCCAGTTCCTACAACAGAACCTGGCACATTGTATATACTCTATCAATATTTGTTGAATAAATTAATGAATAAAGAAATACAACATAAGTGATAAAATATCCAAATGATGATACAGCATATGAAAATATTTGGAAACTCATTTTCTTCCTTTTTTTTTTTTTTTTTTGA